CCACCTGACACACACCACAGCAGGATGGGATTCTTTCTGGAACTGGTCTTGGAAGTTAACATCAGATTTTCCCTCAATTCCCCCATCCTTTCATTCCCATTGAAGATGAGAAACTCGGCAACCATTGTGAGTGCCTTTGACCATATTGACTTGCAGAGATCCCTTCTAATCCTTTGGCTTGCTGAAACAAACTATTGTCTGTGGTTACTGCTTCCAACACACTCCCAGCTCACAGTCCATCACATTCCCTACAGGGAGTTCCTACTCTTCCACACACAAAAAATGCATTTCCACACATGCCCTTTCCACATCAACCCAGCCCTGACAGGCATCTCATTCTAATCCTAGAAATGAAGAGCCTGAGACCCAGCTGCTAAGAGGTGAGGTAGGCATGTGATTTTACTTCTGACTTCCAGTCCAGTGCTCTTCACTTGCACACGTTGCCTTTGCGTACACACTTGCTCACATGCTTATCTTCTTTTATTCTACAAATATTTATGGAATGCCTACTAGCTGCAAGCCCCTGTTCTAAGCCCCAGAGATAAGAATGAATTAAGCAGATGTGGTTGCTGTCCTCATGGAGCTCCCAATATTGAAAGGGAAACAAACAAGTCAACAGGAAATTCACATAAAGTATGCTGTCTGCCTAGAAGTGGCAGAAGTGCAGGGTGCTGGGGAGCACCTGGGGGTGTCGTGCATTGTAGACTTGCACAGTCCTGGAGAGCTATCCAGAGGAGGAGACATCGCTGTGGAAACACAGCGATGTTTCCATCGATGAGGGGTCAGGCATAAATTAGCCAGAGGAAGAGACAGGCTCCAGGTAAAGGGAACATCCCTAAGATGAGAGACAGTGTGACACTTGATGAAGCTGAAAGAGATTCAGGCCAGCCTGGAAAGGTTGTGGGGGATGGAAGAGAGGAAGCTGGAGAAGGCAGCAGGAGCTAGAGCATGAAGAGTCTACTTCACCATCTTAGGGAATTTGAACTTTCTCCCGAGGTCACTGGGGAGCACTTGAAGAGTTTTGAGCAGGGGAGTAACAGGATCAGGTTTGCATTGAGAAGAATCACTCAGGCTAAAATGTGGGGACTAGCCTGCAGACAGGCAGTGTGAATGCAGGGGAAGGAGCAAGCAGTGGCTGCAATAATCTGGGAGAGAGATGGCAGCGTTCTGCTCTCAGGCAGTTGGAGCTAAGTGGAATGCTCTAACAGATACTGAGGATGGAGAATGGCTGAGACTCCAGGATTGAGGGAAGGCGCTAATGGAGAAAGGGGCAAAGGTTGGTGTGCAGGTTACTGACATGGGCCATCCGTAAGTGATGGTGCCATGCATTGAGACAGAACCAACAGGAGGAACAGGGGAGCCGTTCAGGGCAGGTGATTAGTTCTTTTTAGTTACCTTCAAGGTATCAAACAGGCCATTGGATACCTGAGTCAGGAACCAAGCCAGGGCTGAAGTGGAGATTTGAGAGATGTCAGTTGAGATAGCCAAGGAGACACTGGCATATGGGGACTATCATTTGAAACAATGATATGAAGCAGGGATGCAACAATAGGGAATACCTATAGGGAGCAGGGAAAGTGAGGAGTGGACCTAGAACAAAATCCTGAGAATTACTGACATTCAAGGAATAGGCGGCAGAACACATCAGCAAAGGGGACTGCGAAGGAGATGCCAGAGAGAGAGGGGAAAAAGCAGGAGAGCTGGAGCCCTTGGAAGCCAATAACAGAGCACTTCGTCGGGGTCTGCGAGTACCTACCTGGCACACTGTGGCAGCCGTAGATGAGGACGGCTGAATGTTATGGGAAGCCGGGCTAGTAGAACACCAGGAGCATTGCATTCCAAGCCCAGCCCCTGCCCCTGCACAGGATTGTGTGTGCAGGTAAACACGGCAGCTGCCTACCTCCACACTACCTTACACTCCCCAAAGCCAGCCACACAACTAATGATGCCCTAATAGGAATGCTTTGGCACCAGTAGAAAGAAACCCTCAGGTGCTCATCAGTGGTCCTGGCTGAGTTACAAAGCCTTCTCCCTGCCCCTCCTCAAGGTCCAGCCTCATCGGCATAGGCCACATCTCCTCTGCAGTGAACAGCACCTTAGGATATTGTACAGAGGTGCAACGTGCCCTTAGCCAAAAGTTGGCTCCCTGAGCCATCTCATGGATGAGGCTGTGCCTTTTAGAAAATCAGGAGGCAGGAAACTCCCTCTGGTGAAGTCTAGGTGAGCAGAACTCAGATGAGGCGCAGTAGGAAGGGGAGCAAGTGAGGAGGGAGGCAGACTTGGGCTGGCTGGAGAGGCGTGGAGATGCAGGTGGGCCAGGAAGAACGTGGCAGCACTGAAGGGGTCTCCCCGCTTTCTTGCATCTTTGCTAACTGAGCCCTTAGCCTTCTCATCTCTCCCATCATCCTTGACACTTGCTCTTTTCCTCTCCACACTCAGGGTTGGGCCTTTCAGAGTTTGTCTTGACAACCAGAGATCAGGAACACATGTGGGTGGGGTGGCCTGGAGTGGTGACAACTTCCAGAGTGACGGGAAAATGGTCTCATGAAGACTGCATGGCCCTCAGACCACGCCTTTCCAGTGGGAAAGCCCTTTTTAGCTCAGGACTGGGCTGCAACAGAGAGACGGGAACAGCTCGTGGCTTTCCCCACAGTTTCTGCCAGCTCTGGAGCAGGGCGGCTCTTTGGAGAGAGTTGACCACAGCACTCAGCAGCTCCCTCTGCCAGGCTCCCCAGACATATCTGCGCTCTGCCAAGGCTGGGGGACTCTATCCCAGGCCTGTCGGGGCTTCCCTAGGCAGCGCTACAGTGGAAAGTCCCTCCCCTGCTCATGCTATATCTTCCCTTTCTATCTGTACTCTGGTTTCCTCTAGCGTTAATGTGAATTTCAGCACTTTTGCACTCTTGCTGTTGTACTTTCCTTATTCCAAAGAGTCTAAAGCTTCCAGAACTCTATGGAACAGGAAATAAGAGGAGTCATTCATTGAGCAGTGCGTGACTGTCAGATCCTATCAACCCTAGGTAATAGGGACGGACAGAGCAGTGATGAAATGGTCACAGGCCCTCCCTTGACAGAATGGAGAGTTGAAGATGGTCCTCATCTTCTGAAGGGCCTGCAGCAAACCTCGCCTTGTGCCTGCCCAGCAGCAGAGGCCATGTGAGCCCACAGAGTGCAGCACAGTGACCTGGGCATCATGTCAATGTCTGAATTGCATCAGGTGGAACTGTATTTCTCCCTAGAAGGCAGCAGGCCATCGCTGAGGAGAGGACATACAGAATCTACAATGAGCCTGAACAGCTTTAATAAGGGAGCCAGAGGCAGAGTCCCAAGAAGCTGACATTGACAGAAAGTTTAGTCCCCTTCCCTGGAAACCTCCTGTCTGCAGTCCCAGGCCAAGCAGACAGATTTGGAAAATAGCGATGACATAATTAACACTTCTTTTCCATCGAACACAGAGCAGTCATGGCACTCTGGCCTTTGCTTATGTTGTTCCCCTGCCTGGAATGCCCACCTCTGCTCACTTCCTCTAACACAACCCTAGGCAACGAAAGTGTTCAAAGATGAAACAGTAGGATATCTGGGATTTGCTGGGCTATGAGAGAGTGTGAAGCGAGAAGATGAGAGGGGAGGAGGGAGATAGCTGAAATAAAATTGACAATTAATAAAATGTGATGCTGGGTATGTTAGCATTCATTCTACTATTCTATTTCGTGTATATTTGGAAATTTTCATAATAAAACATTTTCTAAAAATTTCCATGGATCCGTAAAACCCAGGTGTCTCCCACCTTGTATGTGATGCTCTCCGGATGGCTCCCCACTCACTCATAAACAGGCCACTCCCCGGTCACACGCTCATGGCATGACCAGCACTACCCTAGGCACAGTCATTTAATTCAGCTCTATTAGGTGCTTGCTTTCATAGGCTGTCAATGGTCTCTTTAACTTCATGGCAGAAAGGAGAGGGGGAAACAACTAACATTTCATGAGGGCCCACTACGTTAGGGACTGAACCAAGTGTTTCTCACATAGGCCATGTCCCATCGGCTTCTCTAGCACAAAGTTGGCTCATCGTGGGTGTCTCATAAACATAGGAATCACTCACTAAACATTAGCACAACAATCTAGTGCACTAATATGCAGCCATGAAAGGTAGACGTCTCATGATACAGAGAAGGGCTTATCTTATAATGCTAAGTGAAAAAAACATCAGGGCACAAAATGATATCTGTAGTATGATCCCAACCCTATAAAAACTGGCTCTATGAAAGACTGGGAGGGTGTGTGAATCAAATGTGCTTATTTCTGGGTAGAGGAATACTTGGGCATTCTTTTTCTTGTTTTTATATTTTCAAAATCAGGTTTAATAATCATATATAACAGGAATCAGCAAAATTCTCCTACAAAGGGCCAGGTAGAAAATGTTTCCAGCACCATAGGCCATGCCGTCTTGTCATATCTACTTACTCTGTCTTGTAGCATGAAAGCAGCCACAGACAATGCATCAGTGAATAAGGGTGGCTGTGTTCCAGGACAGCTTTATTGGCAGAAACAGGCAGCAGGCTGGATTTGTCTCATAACTAGCTATAGTTTTACCACCTCTGATATATTACTTTATAATCAGGAAAAAGTTACTTAAGTATATATTCTTTGGCTATAAGATCTTGGTATCATAATCAATAGATCACAGTACAGAAACCTTACAGTCAGGCTTTATTCTGGTATCCTTATATCATAAAACAATCTAAATTAAAAGTCCTAACTGAGAGACTACGAGAATGCAAATTCTGTGCTGGATAGAGTAAAAATTAACAATACCTATAATTTATACCAATTTCATCTCTGTTTTTAAGCCTAATATATTTTACTTATTTATAGCTTTTCTTTTGTCTTTTAATGAAGTTTCATCATATTTTAGTGAGCTCTCAGAAATCTATTATTTTTAAAACATCATGTAGGATGAACAGAAAAACTACAATTTTCATTTTTTTTTCCCTCCAGATTTTCTGAAGCCAAGGCCCTGGGAGAAAGTATAAATGAAGCAAGAAGTAAAATTGGTAAGCAGATTATATTCTGTGAGCCTCTTTCAGAAACCATTTTCCTGGTGGAAATCAGGTCATGATGTGCCTCCAAATGGCCACGAAGCCCCGTTTCAAGAGAGCCCTGCCAAGGAAGCCGCTTTGAGGGCCTTCCCTAGGAAGTGTGTGATCCCTCCCACCACCCATCAGGAAAAGTACTTTCTTCTTTCTAGCGCTTGAACTTTTCATCCTCAGGCAGGCCTGAGCTCCAGCATCCCAATGAGAGAATCTTGCTTTTCCCTCGTGCGTTTCAGCAGTAGCTCAGCTAGTCATAACTGCACGGATACAGTGAGACGTCATTTCGTATTTCAAGTATGGTGAAACGCTCTTACACCTCCGAAAGCTTATACTTAGCATTTTTGGCAAAGGTTGATATTTTAGCATCATTCAGTAAGCTGGTGGGAGGATAAGCAGCAAATACAAGCCATTGTGCTTTCCCAGGATGGAGGCTGCCATGGAGGGCTCCCCACTTAGGTGAACACCTCTGCAAAGGTGAGATTAAGGCAAGAGGCAACTCAGTAAAATGTGCCTTGAATCCTTTTTTTGTTCGTTTGTTTTGAGACAGAGTCTCGCTGTGTTGCCCAGGCTGGAGTCCAGTGGTACAATCTCATCTCACTGCAACCTCCACCTCCTGGTTTCAAGCAATTCTCCTGCCTCAGCCGCCCAGGGCAGCTTCGCAGAGGGGATCCCTGTGCCTTACCTCCGTGCTGGAGAAGGCAGCAGTTACTGGTTCACAGCTGGCCCACTAGGTCTCTCCCACTACCTCCTTTTCTCCCCCTACATGTGACGACAGGACAGAACCCACTGTGAGCATCCTCTTTAATTTTTCTAACAGAATATAAAAATCACGATAGGCTCAGGTTGTCTCGGTCAGGAGTCAGGAGCCCCACAGTCCCCTCTGTGGCCTGAGACAGAAAGGGGCTGAGGTAGTCAGACCCAGAGCCATGCCCAGCAGCCACACTCGGAATCCTTGTGTCCCAGGGGTTCTTGACCTAAGGTTTGGATCTTGATAGGTGAGAAATGCCCCTATATTCTTACTAACCTCTAACTGAACTTAGCACCACTTCAATGATGAACCCAGTGGAAGTCACAGAGGCTTTCATGTCACATCACAGAGGGGCAGACTTTGTAATATTATCTTTGTGCTCATCAGTTCATAAAAATTACAAAAATTACAATGGTTATTAGACTCTCCACTAGGTCTTTTTATTTAATACATTTATATAAAAGTACATAGATATTTCTGTATCACAAAAGGTTTTACAATTTTGATAACTATTTCAATATAATTGGTTTCTCTGAAAAGCCTATGTATTTTACTTTATGCACCAGATTATTATCGTGAGAGGGTCAGGTCATCAGACTGCCAGAAGATCCCTGGCACAAAAAAAAAAAAAAGATTTCAAACCCCTTTCTTGACCTGAATTCCAGAACACCCTAAAACTGCATGAGAAAAACTGGGGATTAGGAGCGTTTGTATTTTTCTGAAGATAATATCCATCTATAGCTTATCTGATTCTCAGAGGGCCCAGTTACCCAGACCCATAAGGAAATTGATTCTAGGCTCATCTCCTTCAGGTGGGAAGGCAGACACTCTGCTGAGGGGCAGCCCAGTCCCAAACAGCAGGCAGTGATGGTCTACCTTTGAAGGGGAGGCGGAGGGGAAAGGGGAAGCAGACTTCAGTGGAACCGGGGCCAATTGGTCAGCATCCTCTGACCTCAAGGACCCAGTGGTATGTTTTTATCCTTGGAGGGATAAGAGAAAATATCTTGTATAAACTGCTTCTCCATAAGAAATAATATAAAGTTTTGCTCTTAAAAAAATCTTACTCTGTAAATCAAAATAAAACTGTTCCAACATTAATGAAATATACTAATGTTGGAAGGCACCAGTTAACTATACTAATATACATAGTTTTTCAATCTGAGTACAATGGAAATAACTACAAATTCCCCATAATTTTGGTGCAATAACGTATGTCGGTGGAGCAAGTTTGCCACATTCTGAAGATTAGGCAGTTTGGGGGCTGCCTTAAAAGCTGTTCAGGTGTGTCCTGCCCAAGAGCCAAGGGCTGACCAAGTGAGGGCTGTAATTGATCTGCCCAGGGAGGACGACTGCTGTTAATTCATGCTCAAGGGGTCCAGATATGCTAGGAGAAGACCTGGGCAAGTAAACTTTTGTTTTTTTTTTTCCAGAAAATAACAAATAGAGTTCACACCAATATTGAGATTCAAGCTTCCCTTGCTACCAAGAACACAGTTAATTCAGTGATGCCTATAAAGCTAATGTTAGTCTTCACTTTATGCAAATAACAAAGTGAGATCCATCTCCTGGCCACCTACCTTTCAACTGTGCTCTGATCCAAGGGTCCCAGGTGAATGGGTCATTGAGACTCAGCCTCATTACTGAAATCAGCCCCTCATGGTGCTTGGCCACGGGGAGTAACCTGCCATCATGACATCTCAGACACCAGGTTAGGACAAAGGAGGTATAAGGTAGAACTTGTACACACATTTAAAATTTCCAAGGCAACCTTGAAGGACACTAGTTTCAGGAAATTTAGGATGTTACTGAGTGCATTTTTTCTTAGGGAGAAATGGAATCAAATGGAATTTGCAGTCCTGAAAGAGTCCCTTAGTGAATCTAGGAAGGAGGAGGCAGGAGCATGGCATGAATGTGCCCTGTCTGCATGGGATGGTGACTCAGCTCTGCTCCCAAACTGGGCCACATCCTGCCTCTGGACCCCGAGGCAAGATTGGGATGCCAAGGGGCGCACATGCAATTGGCCTGCAGAGAAGAAGCAAAAGCTGTATTTGTGAACTGCAAACCAGTCAGCCCACGTGTTTAAAGTTCAGGTTGTCACTATCTCGAGTAGTTTGTTTTTTCTCTGACATTGTGATCCACAGCTGCCTCTTGAGTTGCCTTCTTTCTCGAAACTCCCTAAAGTCTATCAATTTAGTAGTGACTGTATAATACCTAATTTTTCTGTGGCATCATCAGTCAGTCAGAACTTCCATATGATTTCCTTTTCTTAAAAGTAGCCAACCCAACTAGGGAGATAAACCCTTGCCACAAACTCCTTTTTTGTCTTTTTCTAGATACCATTTACATCAATCCTGGTGTTGAAATAAGTTGAAATAAGAAGTGTAAGGAGTTACCAATTTAAAATCTCCCTGAAAATAATAGAGTCTTTGTTTCTGTCTGAGAGCCATCTTTATTGTATTTACCTGTCCATATACAAGATCATTAGGCTGCTTTTCTTCACATGGGCTGGGGTTTTGCACACATTCATAGACACCCTGCTTCCATCCATGTCTCTAAAAATGCCACTGAGCCCAAACTGGGAAAAGAAGTAGACTGCTTTAGAGGTGGTGGCATAAGCCAGGCATGCTTTCACTTACTAGAGTCCTGGCATTCATTTTTTTTACATCACTGTTCTACCACTGGCAGCATTGTCTTTGGCAACAAAGGACAATGAATGACCGTTCACTGGCTTAAGGCCCACTCCGGGCTCGTCCAGAAACAGCTGCCTTGCAGGCAGGTGAAGGAACTTGACTGACACCTCTCGGCACCTCGTCATCCCTCCACAGACCCCTCCAGGCCTAAATGAAAACTCACATCACAGGAGGCTGCACAGCGGGTTTTCAATTCAAAAATCACAGGGAGTGTAATAGAAGAAGCTGTTAGTGAGAGGCAAGGAAAAAAAAAACTAGAAAAGCTAGCAAAACATTCTGGAAGTTTTTTCCCCTACTCCAAATTCAAAGGACCCCCCCCCCCGCCCAACCCCCCATTTGACCAATGCCCTTTTAAAAAATGTTTCTTTTGTACATTTGGGATTTGGGAAAATCGCTTCTCAGATCTGGGTCTCCATTGGCAGAATAAACGGGACTGTTTTTGCTATTTGTCAGTCCTGTGCATGTTCTGTACTTAACTTCATTGGAGGGTTACTTCTGGAGCTACCTCCGGCATGTCTGCCTCTTGTATCTTACCCTGGAGGAGGGAAAAGACAACATCTAGGTTGTTTTGCTAGATTACGATGACCCGGATCAAGTATATCCTTTTGTTACTATTTGTTGCCAGCTCCAAATTACAAGGACAACACCAGCAGGAACAGCAGCCTCCAGAATTTATTGAGCACTTCCTCCATGCTGGGCTGAGAACTTGACCTATGTTACCTCATTTAATCCTCACAGGGAGGAGACACGCCTGTCAAGTGGGTTTTACTGTATGTGTGACAGACTCTAAGAGATGCAGTTTTTACACTCTTAACACCTGTGTTGTCAGGATGCATTTAACCATCCCATTTGGCTTTTTTTTTTTTTTTTTTTTTGACATTTTAAAAATGTCTGTATTGGGGATTGGTCTTCTAGTTGACATCGTCTTAGATTCCATGAAATATGGCATTTTCATTGTTTTATAGATTTTTTTAAATAAGTTGTAATGAAGTGGCCTTCATAAGTGGCCAAACTAGAATTTCAGTCCAACTCCAGAACTTTTTAATACTATATATGATCTCTTTAAATTCACATTTACCTGGCTTTGACATTGTCTTCTGAGTTTAAATTTCTCTCGGTTGTTATTCAGTTTCCCTGAATCTTTGGCCTTTAGCCTACCTGATATGCCCAACAAAAGACTCAAACTAGACCCCAGCTCAGGAGCTTTGAGCATATCCCACGAGCGTGATTAATGACAGGTCATCTTCGGCACATTGGGGCCCAGTTGTGGGAGTGAACCAGGCTAAAGTCCCCCCTGCCCTTACTCTCCATCTGACGCGCACCACACAGCATTGCATCTGCCCATAGTTTTCCCAGTTTGCACAAAGGTGCCCCATGGGCTTCCAGCGGCCCTGGTAGGATGCCGTGTCCCACATGTGTTTCAGTTATCATTTTCAGTGGTTTGGAGAACAGAATTGAAGGGCTATATTTTCAGGCTGCATACAATTCCAACTGAATGGGTTTACTGATGCTTCAAAACATAC